GCAAAAACAAAAAAAAAAAAAAAAAAGACATGATGTGATACAAACTGCCTATAATTCATCTAGCTATTTTATGTAGAAATCACTCATTGCTTTTTAATCTATTATGAAGATCCTCTTGTAAACAAGAGAGTTAATCAGTTACAGATATTGTATATTAACCTCAGTCTATTTTAATGCATCTGTGAATTTAAGTGGCTGTAAATATTGCCTATTATATACCACTAACATTTGGATATTCATTTATCTAGCGATTTATATCTGGTAGAGAAAATATTTATAAGTATTGTGTAACTTTTTAAAATTAGACTAGTATGAATTCAATTAGCATTTAAAAGATAAAATTGATAGAATGAGAGAGAGTAGCAGAAGGGGAAAAGTGCAGTTTAATCACTGAACATAAGTTGAGTTTACTGAGAATTGATTTTAGGTATGTCAAGGAAGAGAAAAGAAGCTGAAGACATAATTGCTTTTTCAAGATGATTCTAGGATCTAGAATCTATGTATTCTGAAACCATTAAAAGTACAATTTAAGGCTTTTTCAAATCAGGCACTAGGTAGCATAGTACAGTTTAAAATAGTAGAAGAATTCAGAGAACAAGATGGAGGTTGTGGACACTGCCCTGTCAAATAGGAGGCGGCTCTTGAGCTAGAATTGAAGAGGGCCTTTGGATAGCTGCCAGGGGTAAGGAAAGGCATAAAAGGTAAGTAGAAAAGATATGAGTGAGCAGAGACCCCAGAGCCAGTAAGCTTCTTGTAAATGGGGCTGAGTTAAGAATAAGTTAAGTTGATTTTTTTTCCTCTTAGGTTTTTCGTCCTTTAACCCCAAATTAACATTCTTTTTTTTTTTTTTTTTGGAGAGATTTTCATTATAGGGCGCATGTGCTCGCCAGACAAAGAGAGACATAGAGACAGAAAGTGAGAAATCACCCCCCAGGGGGGATGGTCACGCCTCAATCCCTTCTTCTCCATTCTCCTCTCGGGATCTTGGGCACGCACGCACACGCGCCTGGCGTGAGTTTTAAGCCACCGGGTCCGGGATGCAAACCGCGGTCGACTACGTGGGAGTCCAGCAACATAGCCATTACACTAACTGCTGGTTCCTCCCAAATTAACATTTTTTCCTCCATACTATTTTTCTCTGAGAGGTATTCTCCTGCTTTGTTAAAAAAAAGAAATAAAATACAAGGAAGCAACAACTCAAAGCCTTATCTTCCTAAAGGTAGAATGATTTTAATGGATTGGCATATTTAGACAGTTTGGGTTATGCATATTTTATATTCAGTTAAAATAAGCCTTGAGGAAAGAACTAGAGTTGGATAGATATGATCAAAACCTGATGGGTCTACCATTTGCTCTTTGGCTTTTGACACATTTAATCATCTTCCCATTACTTTTATTTATTAGAATATATTTTTAAAAAGTTTATTTATTCCCTGAGTACACACACGCATGCCAGCAGAGACAGTGCCCATAAAAGAGTCTTGACTTGGAGAACCTTCAGCCAGCTTGGATCATGTTGCATGTATATGCTGGTGTACTACTTAGGGAGGTCTGTGGACTTGAAATGGGATAAATTGAATATAATTTGTATTAAAGAATTTAGTTTACTTTGTACACTTTAACAGTTTTTTTCATCTGTTTCTTTATGGTTCTAGTTTTATTTTATTAAAAAAAAAAATCTCTGCCTTCCTTTAGGAGACAAGGATGGCAGCAAGGTGACCACAGTGGTGGCAACTCCTGGGCAGGGTCCAGACAGGCCACAAGAAGTCAGCTATACAGACACTAAAGTGATTGGAAATGGGTCGTTTGGTGTGGTTTATCAAGCCAAACTTTGTGATTCAGGAGAACTGGTTGCCATCAAGAAAGTATTACAGGACAAGAGATTTAAGGTAAGACCTCTTTTATTGCTCTCTTAATATATGTAAATGATTCTTTTTCATTCGCCACTTTTGATTCATATTTCATCTATTTTGTGATTTTTTTTGTTCAACTCAACTACTATAGTGACTTTATTTGTACTCATAAATTTTGTAGAGATAAAATTTACCAAAGATTGCAATATTACTTTTATTATCCACTTGCTGTGAGTGTTTAAAGTCCTGTGAAATGTAATTTAAAAAATTTAAATTTATATTTAAAAAAAGTGACCTCTCCTACTTGTGTCTTATGTTGTAGGGACCTGTAGCCTATTATATGCATTTGATACAGTTGACTAGCCTTCCTGTCCTTAAAAATTCCTGTAATCTGTGGTGCAACATTGTCATTCTCACATAACTCATTTTTATTTACTGTCTTCCTTTGTTACTTTTCCTTCTTCTGTTAGAAACCAATAATTCTGAAAGTTTAGTTCTTTACATTTATTTTCATTTCTTATGCCATCTCCTTAAAAGGTCATATGCATGGAGTTCAGATGTCTTCTCTGTGTTGTTCTATAGTGAAGTTCTACAGTTAACAAGCTATGCAGCCTTACTCAGTTCTGTATCTTTCCCTCCTCTGTGAAATTTTACAGAGAGCTTCGCACGTGCTGAGAATTACATTAAACATTAGTGATATAAAAATAAATTAAGAAGTGATCACTGCTCTTAAGTAGCACACAGTCTATTATCTGTCTAGAACCTTCCAAAGGTTGTTTTTCTTTATTCTGAAGTTTGTTTCCAGTTCTCACCTCTCTAATAAGACTTTGCCAATGTAGTCTTACATTGCCAAATGTATAATAAATATTTTTTTAAAAGAATTATATTATTTAACTTTATTTATTTATTTATTTGTTTTAATTTGACCAGGAGGGGTGGGAGAGAGAGAGGAAGGAAATCGCCAGGTCCGGGACTTGAACCATGGTCGGCCAATGTGAGAATCCAGCACCCTTAACTACCATGCCACCTGCTGGCCCCCATAGTGAATCCCAGTGTTGCATTGTTATTTCAAATTGTCAAGGCTTCACATCTAACCCTGGCTTAGCTTTTTTTTCCCTTAAATTTTGCTATAGGGTATGTGTGCTCTAGAAAGAGACAGAGTTGGGGTGGGGGGAGAGGAAGAGAGAAAAGAGGAAGCGAGAAATCAGTCTCTGGGGTGGTGGTGGTGGAAGACATGTTGGGTGTGTTTTCCAAACCCCTGAGTTCAGGACTCAAACCGTTGAGTTGGCCATATGGGATCAAGTTGCCTTAACCTCCACTCTGCCTGCTAGCCTCTGACTTAGCTTTTAAGACCCAGTAAAAATCCTTCCTGTTGGTTTTCAGTCATTTGGATTTGAGTTTTCATTCCAATGATTTTATTATTCACTGTGTAATGAGTATTCTATTCTCATTCCTAATATCAAGTTATTGTCAAACCTGGCTGATTTTTCTTTTTCTCTCTTACTGCCTTGATGATATATCTCTTCTTTCCTTTTGTCATCTCTGCTATTCTAGTCAGTCTCATTATTTGGTTTTACCACTAGTAAGCTTCTACCTTTGGTCTTTTCCCTTCCAATCTCCTGTGCAATACCAATATTAGAAGAATCTCAAAAGTTCTTCTTGGTCATATTGTCTCTCTTGCACACAAACCTTCTACAGTTTTTTATAGGCTAAAAAATAAATCTGCCTAGTTCAGTTTATATACTTAGGAGCTTTCATAATCTTGCTGTTTTTCCCCAAATACTTAGCTTTCCAAACTGTCTGTGTCACTATCCTTGAAATACATCAGTCTTTATTGCTTATCTGCTTTTATATAGCTTCCTTTCTGTCACGCCCATTCTCTTACTTTGTAAATCCTGTGCTTGTATGCAGACTGAAGTCAGATTCTTCCTCTATGTTTCCAGTCAGCCATGTGGATCTTGTTATGAATTCCTTGAGCCCTTATTGCTTTTGAACTAGAAAATTCTATATAATTTTATGTCAGAATCTCTACATTAATTCTGTTTGTCTATTAAATATCCACACATTCAGGATTTTTTTTTTTTGATTAGTAGTTAATGATAACAAATACATAATCAAATCCATATTATTTGGGTGTTTTTCATATAAATAGTTTTATGTAATCTTTACCATTAGTGCTGTTTAATTGACAATTATTATTTAGATAAGGAACCCTAAATAAAAAGATTCTAAATTAGCTTGTCCAATGTCACACAGATAGCAAGTGGATGGATGGGCAAAGAAGGATGGGAATCTAGACAGTCTGACTCCAGAGTGCCATACTAAATATTATCAATATATCAAACTCCTCCCTTCTTTTTCTCTCATAGTATTCTCTCCATAATACAGTATCGGATTCTCAGAACATCAGTCATATTTCTGTCACTATATTAAACCACATCCTCTCTCTCCCTCTCAAGAAAGGGAAAGATTGGTTTTACTCATTCTGAAATGATTGCATTATATTGGCTCACCAGGAAAGTCATGACACATTTTTGCATAGAAAAACATAGAGAATTATTTTATGACTTTACCGATGACCTAATAATTCATCTGTAGATGTTTAGTAATTTTTTTGTTGCTTCCATGAAAGACATTGTTTTAAAAAATAGTATTTTCTATTTATTACTGGTATTTAAAGAAAGTTATGCTTTTTGTTAATCTTTTTTTTTTTTTGAGAGGGTTTTGCTGTAGGGCACATGTGCTTGCCAGAAAGATAGAGCGATACAGAGAGATAGAAAGCAAGAAATCACCCCCCCAGGAGGATGACCACGCTGCAGTCCCTTCTCCTCCATTCTCCTCTCGGGATCTTAGGCACGTGCACACATGCACCTGGTGTGAGTTTAAGCCACCGGGTCCGGGACTTGAACCACAGTCAACTACATGGGAGTCCAGCGATATAACCATTACGCTAACTGCTGGTCCTGATCAGTTTTGCTTTCTAACATATCATTTTACCACAGATATTTAACATTTTGATTTTTTGGTATATGTTATATGTATTGCTATGTTTAAAAAAATTGGGGGGGGGTCAAATTTGGTGTGTATCTTTTCTTTACTCACCTTTCCTTTTTAGGGAACCAAGTGTTGATTATTTTTAGCAGTCTACCTTATTCATTATGTCTTTTGTCATTATTCTTTTTTAAGAAGGTTATAAACATAGATTCTGTCAGTACTACTTTCATTAAAGGATGAGGATATATGCCTATGTAAATGAATTGTAGAAATCTGAAAACAAACATTTAAATAATAGAAAATGGTTCATATTAGGTGGCAGGGAGCTACACGTAATAATACCTGTGATTGTCTTCATTGGGAATTGTAACACTTTTAACAAGTCATACATTACAGAGAATATTGATTAATGTTGTCCAAAATTAAACTATGTGAGTCAAGAAAATAAAATAATAAGAAAAGGGAGCATCTAGAATCTTGACTTTAATAAATTGTGTATTGGGTACTATGTTTTTTAAACGAATTTATTTACAGGATAGATAGCCTTGATCCAGTGTTATGATAACTATAGTGTTTTATCGATCACTTTCCTCATATTAAGATTCTATAGGTATGTGAATAGTTAATAAATATAGATTTGTCTGATCATCTGTAGAAAATAGTGATATGCTCATAGCATTTTATAATTTCAGAATTATTTTTGTATATACATACATCATCTGATTCTTACTACTTTTTTTTTATGATGTGTAATCTTTTTTTTTATTATTATTATAAATTTTTTTTTCTTTTCTCATCACAACACACATATGAATTTTCCATTTTGTATATACATACATCATCTGATTCTTACTACTTTTTTATGTTGAAATAATTTCAGACTTAAAATTGCCAAATAATACAAAGAATTCCCTTATACCTTTCATCTAAATGTCCAAATTATTAATATTTACCACACTTGCTTTATAATTTTTTTCCTATATACACAGCCGATTTTGTCTCGAAATGTGTGAGTACAACTTCTAAGCATGATGTTCCTTTATCCCTAAATTATTCATTGTACATTTTGCAAATTCAAGGACATTTGCTTATGTGATCTCAGAAGAGATATGAAAATTAGGAAATTAATATATCAATAGTACTTTTAACATACAGTTCTTATTGAAGTAACTTCAGTTGCTCCAGTAAGGTTCATTACAGTGAATGAAAATTCTTGGTCATGTATTTAGTTATCTGTAGTCCCTTATTACCAAGAGTAGTTCTGCTGTTACTGTCTTTCATGACATTCATAGTTATAAACGATTTATTTGGGTTTGACTATTGTTTCCTCCATAAGGTCTCTTAGATTCAGAATATTCATTTCTTTCAGGAATATCATAGAAAAGATGTTTTACATCATTATATCAGAGGGCCTATGATGTCTCTTTGTCCCATTAATGATGATGTTGACTTACATCTCTTAAGGTAGTATTTGTAAGATTTCTTTACTGTAGAGTTACTATTTTTCCTTTTGTAATTTATAATAATTCTGTGAGGAGATACTTTAGAATATGGAAAGAATATATTTTCATCATACTTATATCAGTTAGTAGTAGCATGCATCGATGAGTCATGTTTGAATCAATTATTCTAATAATGACTGTCAAATGGTTATTTTCTAATTTCTGTTTATTCCTTCTTTATTAGTTGAGATTCTACTGTAAGGAATATAAAGAGTTTTTCTCTTCTCTCTTTATTTATATAATTAGTATGAACTATTGAGTTTTATTAAATGGATTATATATATTATTTCCCAAAGGTTTTTTGCCAGAGGGTGTGTGTACTCACCAGAGAGACAGAGAGACTAAGACAAAGAGAGGGAAAGTGAGAAATCACCCCCCTAGGGGAGATGGCAACACTGCAATCCCTCCTCCTTCATTCTTCATGCACATGCAGCTGGTGTAAGTTTCAAGTTGCTGGGTCTGGGACTTGAACTGTAGTTGGGTTGGTCATGTGGAGGCTAGTGCCCTAACTATTGGTCCCTGGGTTATAATACTTAATCA